ATTCCCAAAGTTGGAGAAAATAACAACTAATTGAACCACAAGCTAAACTAAAAGCCCAAGAAAAACTAAAGGTAATTAGAATTCCAGATTTAAGTCTCAATCTGCTGAACCAAACCAAAAAGATTAATTTTCCACAAGAAAAAAAAAATTTTTGATACCATTCATTCTTCTATGGTTAAATAAGTGGAGAAAACTTAAATTCTTTTATGGGTTTCACTTTATCCACATACCATTGTGTTACTCCAAAAGATTAATAAGCAGATTAAGAGTATGAAACATTCCTCCTCTTCTTGATATTCCCAAAGTTGGAGAAGATAACAACTAACTGAACCACAAGCTAAACTAAAAGCACAAGAAAAACTAAAGGTAATTAGAATTCCAGATTTAAGTTTTAATCAGCCAGACCAAACCAAAAAGATTAATTTTCCAAAAGAGAAAAAAATGATACCATTTATTCTTCAGTGGTTAAATAAGTGGAGAAAACTTAAATTCTTTTAATGGGTTTCACTTATCCACCAACGTTCTAAACCAAGAGGTTAATTAAAAACATTTCAAGGGAAGCAAAATCACATGCAATCTAATTTGCTAATTTATAAATCCTAAAACAAAAACTTACCTGCAATTTTCATGTCCTATACAGAGAAAAGTTAAACTATCTCATGGATTTCCGTTCATCCACTAAAGTTCTGAACCAAGAAGTCAATCAACACCATAACATGAGAAGCAAAATCACATGCAACCAAATTTTCTAATTCATGAAACCCTAGAACAAATACAGACATAAACCACAACCAGAAACCCATAAAACGCTTCAAACCAATTCAATTACTGGTTAGAGAATCAAGAAAGTTAAAGAAAATCACAAAACTCATCCCTAAACGTTCAAGAATCAAGAAATCACCTCAAGAGTTGTTGCATTGATAGAACCTTGAGGACCCAGAAGCAGCACCGTCTCCCTTTATCTGTCTAACAAACAAAGTGGTTAGTTTTTTTGACAAAAACGCTAGAGTTGAATACTATGCCAACGAATTTCAAATGCCCACACACAATCCGCTTCTCCTTTTCTCTCCCTCTCTAAGAAAGTTGAAATCTTTCCCTCTTCCCTTAATACTCTGTGTGTCTCTCAGTCCTATTGTTCTCCAGTCATTTTATATTTCAGTTTTGGAATAGTCTGGCCCTGCCCAAAAGACACCCGTTATTTCAAGTTAATTCATATTTTTTGTTTTGTTTTCATTTTATTTATAGGTTATATAACTATTAATTTTCCATTTGAAATGACTTATTAATATTAAAAATATTATGTGACAATTTGTTTTCTTGACACTATATTGAGCCCATGTTCAAATCTTTGGGACATTATTTGCAAGAAAAAGAAAGAAAGAAAGAAAGAAAGAAAGAAAGAAAAATCTCATAATTCTAATTCATAGGTTCTTGATGTATAAAAACATGCTGTTCTTGTCCTTTTTGCTCTCCCAGCATTAAATTTAGTGACAATATCAATTCCTTTTAAGGCTATTCAATTTTGGGGATTGCTTTCAGTTTTAGATGTATATGTTGGTGATTGTTTGTATATCCTATAAATGTTTAAATCTTTAGTCTTGACAACTTAATAACAATTTTAGTGTTTGAATCTTTGATCTTAGTTACCTAATAATGACTAAACAGTATTAACAAGAAATTGTAATAACTTCACCACTTGCTACCTTAGCACTAGTTTTCTTTAATTTTGATATGTAGTGGGGGTGCCCATATATGGTAAAGTGAAATTAGTTTTTCTCAGGATTTATGTATTGATAGACCAATGGTTTTAATTCAAGACTTCAAAATTGAATTTTCAAATTTTAACCTTGGAGTGTATGGGAGGGTTTCAAAAAATGAGAGGAATATCTCATATTATATAACTTATCATCACCTTGACAAAAGAAAACCCAAGCCAGTGTATGTTTGTTGCTATATATATGCAAAATGATCTCAAGGCACATGGGATCCAATTTACTTGTCTGATAAAAAACCAAGACAAGTCAGATTTAACATGCAGTACATTGTTCTTTACCAGAATTTCTAGTCTAGCCTGGGTCATCTAGGGCCAGGGAATCAGGAATGAGGGACTTGAATCGTCGATGCAAATATAAGCACCTCTTTCATCACATGGCCATCAAAGTATACATGGTGCTCTAGTCTTATCTCCATCTCCTCTGAAAAATGAAGTATCTTTTCCATGCATTCTCACCCATCATTTTCACATTGTTTGTGGATCTTACCACCCCATTCAGTTTATCATCAGCCTTGGCACTGAATGAATAATTCATGAAACTTGGACAACCACACACAGAGTATCATCCATAAAATTTTTGAAAATACCTGAATTTATCATAAAAATGCAGTAATTGTAGCCTGATAATACACAGTGCTTGATACAAATAGACATTGGAACTTCTTCCAATCATCATTCTTTTAGTTTTTTTCGTACATTGTTAATCCTGAGTTTCTAGGCTACCTACCAGAATGCAAATTAATAAAAATAAAAATAAATAAAGAAGATACAAAAATCAATGCTGAAGGCAAAACCACGGTCTGACAACCAGAGGCCTTCCAAACAAAACCAAATATATGCACATTTCAATCTGCTGCCTTTTGAACCAGAGGCCGGTGGGATTTCGGAGCTGAAATACACCAGAATATAGAAAGCAGGAAGTTAAACGAGTCTGCCTGTGAAGAAGTCACACAAATAGTTCAACTTTTCCTCCTGCTACACAGCTCATCCCAACCCAAGCAAACAAGACTAGAATTTGCAGTTAATACGTTATTAGAATGATCTGTTCCAATAACATAATATATTGTTGATAGAACAATGTTCTGAAGCTAATAACCTATAGCTCATGTTAGTTGGAAGTAAGCAAAATTCAACTTTAAATTTTACTACATGGTTACATACCATTGGGGTTACCCTGTTCATAGAAACTTCGCAAAAGAGAGATTGCTTCAGAAGCCATTAATCCTCCAGTACATTTGAAACCCTTCTTTTGCGGATTACCACTGCAGAATAGAAAAAGTTAGGCACAACTAATTTGCCTGAATAGCACAATGTATTAATAAATCAATGAAGTGATGAATAGAAAGAGTCTTATTTACCATCAAGATTCATCATATTTTGAAAGTTGGATAATGCCATGAAAATACCAAATGGTCAAATTTATTTAAAACTAAATAAAAGAAGAAAAGAAATCATAGATTAAGGATAAGCTAGGGGCCTAGGACATGTTTCAATATTCAAGGCTGGGCAGTAGTGGCAGTCATCCCGCAAACAATATTCCACAGAAAATGAAAGATATACCCCCTCATAATTTTAGACTTGAGATGTTGTTATCATTCTGTCCCGAAAGAAATGATTGAGGGATGTTGGTTATTCTTTTAAACATTTGATAAATGTTAATTTGCTGCGTTAGTTGCTTACTCATTGGTCTATATGCAGATTTACTTTTTGATATTATCATTGTGTTTTAAAACATCAAGAAGATGAAATTCAGTTTGAGAAGGACCAAAATGAAGGCATTAGATGGAACAATCAATTAGAATTTTCATGCCATGAGAGTTCAGAAATAAACCTGATGAGTGTCTCAGAGTCACTTGAATGCAAGGACAAAATTGATCCACATCCTCCAAATTTATCATTTGAACAGCCATAATACACTTCCTTTATACCTAAGATTTGGGTAAAAATCCAGAGTCAATTAGTAGGCTAATTATAGTGATTGAAAGAATCTTTCACTAGAGTAAGATGACCAGAAAAAAAAAAAAAAAAAAAAAAAAAAAAAAAGAAAAAAAGGGAAAAGGAAAAAACCTATAATTGACAAGGCTGCTGCACACATAATGCACGGTTCGCATGTAACATACAAGACACATTTTGAAAATTTTTCAGCAACTTCTGCTGCTGAAAGTCCATCTCTCTGCCACATCTCCAGAAGAACATCAATTGCTTCCATCTCTGCATGTCTAGTGGCCTGGATCAATAAAATGTTAATGCCTTCAATCCCCATATGGACAAGATGAACCACAGGAAAAAGATACAAACTAAGCCCAAACAACATTATTAAACTTAGATCAACAATACAGATATTTTGGCTTAATTGAATTGTAGAAAAGGGTAAGCTGTTTCCACGCATTTGAAATTAGAAAAATTACAATCAATTATTCAGTAATTTATACAAAAATATTAAATCTAGAATGCTCAAAATCTCCACATGCACTAGAGCCACCTGATAGAATCCTGGTGCTGGTATTGTCTATATGGTAGACCTAAGTTACTCAGACTCAGAAGCATCTGGTCTGATATTTTCCAAGTGCCTGACTTTTCATCAAAATTTAGGCTCAAGTTTTCAGTGAAAAATCTGAAACTAGGATTTAGGTTAACAGATGTTAGTATTTATGAATGTATGTGAGCATAACCAACTTGTGCACTAGGAGATAGAAAATCTATCAAGCAGTTTAGTTAAATCCAAGGAGAAAATGCAGAATGGGAGAGAAGAAAAATAATAAACTCAGAATTTACATTACGTGTCTGAATAGGTCGATTTCTTCCTGAGGCAATGACCTTTCCATCCTCGACGAACACGCAGCTGATAAAAATTATAGCACAATTAAAGACCATGCACCAGCAAAAATAAAAATCTGACTTTAAAAAATGAAAAAAGAGGCGGATTACTATAGAGTTATTGGCTGTGGCTTGTAGCTTAATCCTTGAGTAGAACTTATTCATTACCACATAAGAACTTATAAGTGGGAAGAAGGTTTCTGGGTCCAATACCAAGTATAGGCATTAGTTACATCATTCCGTGGAGCTAACTTGTAAAATTAATAAAGTTTAGATTTTGGAATGAAACTGAACTAATAACAGGACCATTAAAATTTTTTTAACAGCTCACTAAATGCAAAACAGCATTCACAATTTTTACATAATGATAGCTGAATGTTTTTGGAAGACGATTAGTAATTGGGCATACAATAAAAATTGGCAGAAGAATGATTTCAAATGTTAGAAAGATACATGCAAAATGTCATAAATTTTCATCTTTTCATAAAACTTTCTGCCCAATGCACAAAAAAGGTGGAGAAACTTGTAATTCGTAAATGGGTAGTGATGTAAGGTAAGAAATAATTCATGACATTAAACTTTAAAGCTCACCCAACAGGCACTTCAAGGCTTTCCAGTGCAAGTTTTGCCTGATGAATAGAAAGACAAATATTATTCCAAGACACATATGATAATCTAAATGTATAAAGTATAAACCAACATATAGATATTTACAGAAGAGTTTGCTTGGTTTAATGTTACATGTTGTAGGTCTTTGGATTACCTGCTGTATTGCAAGTTCCATGAATGCAAGATTATCGAGAGTGCAAGCTTTTTCAGGAGATGCCATCTATAGAAAACAAGGAAAAAAAAAGTCAAAGAAGATTTGCAAATATAAATAAATTCCGTTGAAAAAAAAAACTGTAAACAATCAAAGAGAAAAACATTTCTACAGCTGAAGTGAATTCCTTCCTGATATCTACAGCAAATTTGGCATCTTGAAGGAAATTATTATCAGCAAGGGCAATTAAATACTTCCATGTCAACTAGCCACTGGATAAAGCAACTAAATTTACTTCTGATCATATAAAATATCAGAGATGCAGTAGTAGTTAATTAAAAGTTGTTAGATAATCTGCGAAAGCAATCTAAAGAGATGCAAAAGCATTTTCCAATGTCAATTTGGAAATCCAAAAGAAACATTGTTTGAGAGAGAAAATAGAGAGCAGGGCAGGTTCGGATGACGAAAGATGACGAAGTTTGGATTGTAGAACCTGCAGGATCCGGAGGAAATGGCTACAAGCAAGAAGGAATACGGCGACGCTGTTCAACGGTGGCGGGAAACAGGCTCGGAGCAGGAAAGCGGAAGGGTAAAAGAAGAAAAGGTCAACGGAGTATGAACAAAAGAAAGACCTAAATTGCCTTTAGTTGGTCCCCAAAGACTAAGATGAAGATTGATTTAGTCCTAATACTTTAATATGTGACAAGTTAGTCCAGAAACCAGAAAAGGAGAGAAAAAGGATATCAATGGCGGAGTTCTGTGGAAAACGGGTCCAGATCCGATCGAAGGGATGCCACCCACCGGATTCCGATCATCACCCTCACTGTTTCCTCTTTTTCCTTCTCTTTTATACCTAAGAAACAAACAGATACCTGGTTTTGCTGATTTTGAGCTCCCTTTCTTCTCCCTGTTATGCCTCTCTTCCCCTGCCGCCTCCCTTTTTTCAGTCAAGCTTCTGTGGCCGTTCAGTGATGGGTGATGATGAATGCTGGGGGCGATGAGATCTCAAAATTGAAAGAGAATCAGAAACCAAGGACGAAAACCCGGAGAGAGAATGAAGGAGAAAGCTGAGGAAATGGGGGGGAGAGAAGATCGGCCGCAAGCTCGAATCCTTTATTTTTCCATTTTTGGTTGTCAGCATAGAGGCTTCCAATTGGGTCCTAATGAGCAAAATAAATGGACCATCAAATGTATTTAAAAATGGATCAAAGTTGGGTCCAAATATGATGGCCTCTGTTTTCCGTTTCTTTCTTTCTTCTTCTTCTTCTTCTTTTTCCCTTCATTCTTCAACCCTTCAAATTTTCATCTTGATGGCATCACTTGCAGATAAATTTCCTGTTTGTGACATTGTCATCTTTCATTCGCAACGAATGATTTGGAATTCCTTAAGCTAACGCAACCTGGGCAATTCGCAATGAATGAATATAAATATCAGAGTCAAGGCAGAAATTCTGTTGGCACTTTGGGCTGGCAACACAAAGGCCAGGTTTGTTGCCAGGACTGAGAAGGCTCTGGCATCCAAAACAATTTCTCTTTGCCTTTTGATTTGGATCATTAAGACGTGATGGAGGAACCTCATCAAATGGTGGTATAGGAAAGAGATGATGATATGATCTGGCTAAATGGGGAGAAGAAACAAGCGTCAATCCACAAATGTGGCACTCAGTAGGCAGCTCACATACACGAGCCTTGCATCTTGGACATGTGTACGCAGCGCCAACCTTAGCCTCTTTGTGACATGAACAAATAGATATAGAACCCTCT